AAATTACACAATTCGTATCAATGGATACAGAAAAGACATTTGACAAAACTCAGTCGCAAACCAAGAGAAGAACGCAAAAAAAAAAAAAAAAAAAGAAGAACGGGGGTACCTTCTCAATCTGATATAGAGTGGCTACTACAAGAAATCTACAGCTTGTAGTAGCCATTATGATTAATAGACTGAGTGTGTTCTCCTAAGAGAAACAAAGCAACGATGGCTGTTCTGACCACTCTTATTCAACATAATGCTAGAAGTTTTAGCCAGTGCAGTCAGGTAAGAAAAGGAAATAAAAGATAGGCATATTGGAAAGTAAGAAATAATACTGTCTCTATTTGCAGATGCAGATGACTGTCAATGTAGAAAATCCCGAAGAATCCATGAGGGGGAGAAAACCCAAATGCCCCACCCCCTTGAATAAGTGAGTTTCAGCAAAGTCACAGTATACAAGATCAATATGTAAAAATCGATTATATTTCTATATAACTTAATGAACAAATGGATACAAAAATTTTAAATAGCATATCCTGTTTATAATTGTTTTAAAAAAGTGTAAATGTAATAAAACACATACAGGACTTAAATGCTGAAAACTACAAAAACACTGATAAATAAAAGAGACCTAAATAAATGGAAAAAAGAAAAAAAGAATATCGTTAAGAATTTTAAGATGGCAGCGACAGCACATTAAACCAGGCATGTGTCCCTGTGCATCTGCACAGGTCACATTCCCATGAAGCCAGCCCCTCGCTAGTATCAAGAGTGATGTTTGAGGCTGGGCGGGGTGGTTTATGCCTGTAATTCCAGCACTTTGGGAGGCCGAGGTGGGTGGATCACCTGAGGTAAGGAGTTCGAGACCAGCCTGTACAACATGGTGAAACCCTGTCTCTACTAAAAATACAAAAATTAGCCGGGCGTGGAGGCGTGCGTCTATAATCCCAGCTACTTGAGAGACTGAGGCAGGAGAATCGCTTGAACCTGGGAGGCAGACCTGAGATCATGCCACTGCACTCCAGCCCGGGCGACACTGCGAGACTCCCTCTCAAAAAAAAAGAAAAGAAAAAGAATGATGCTTGAACTTAATACTCATAGCAGGTCCTGCAAGGTGAAGGTGTCCATTGCCCTGCCTTCCTGACAGACTCCATGTCACCCGCCTTCCACAGATGAGAATCTCCTCGAGGTTTCACCCCACACAGAATCTTCAGGCCTCTGCTTCCTGCACTGTTGGGAAATCCTTCTGACTATCTAAGTTGTCCTTTGGGCCTGTTTCCTCTTGTTCTGTCCTCACTGAATATGGGGAACAACTGGTCCCTCTGAGTAATTAATTCTTGTAGACTTGGACACAGTCTGTAATTCCTTTTCCCTTTTCTCATTGGGATGACTCTCTAGGGCTTTCTCCAACTCTGGATCTCCAACTCTGACACCTCCCCCAGGTTCTCTGTGTGCTTTGGAAGGCATGGGGTTCACAAGAGCCCCAAAGAGCACTAGTCAGGGGCCAGAGGGCTCAGTGCTCCGGGGACATGGGGAAGACTCCAGCACTGATGAACAGACCCCAGCCCCCCTGGGTCTTCTCTTCCAACTCCCAAAATGTACTCTATTTTTATCCGTTTCACAAACTCTGCATAGTCTTCCATCCCTCGCTGACTGTCAGAAGTGACTCTCAGCTCTCGTCCATCTTGAAGTCTCTGTGCTCAGTGTGCCTCTCAGACCGAAGGCTTCCCTTGGGAAGCCCCCACTCTCGCTTCTCAAGACAGAGATCTGGGGGTTGGGGGAGGAAAAGGTTGACCAGAAGCCATAGCAGAGCAGGGAGAGACAGTGTGAAAGACAGACCTGCGGCCAGGCTCCCAGTTCTCCAGCTCATAGAGAGCCCAAGTGGCCGCTATAATCTGAAAGAGCAGATATCGTAATCCCATAGTACTTCCTATTGGCTGCAGGACACAGTTCTGTCCTGACACTGAAATTTGGGTGTGTCAGGGTTCTGGGAATTCACGACGCTCACAACTTGTGAAGCAGCTGCAGGGTGGGGGATGGGGAGGGTTTTAGCAGAGGAAGTGAGGTCAGTCAATAATTGATGCCTGTCTGAGCTTTTAGCCATTATCTCCCCCAGCCTCTATTCCTGTCAAAAGGCGGGGCGGGGCGGGGGGAGGGGTCCCTGGCTCATCTTGTAGAATCCCCATATTAGAGTAAGACACCTTAGAGGTCTACTCCTGCTTCTAATACCCACGTCTTTCCAAGTGTCTCTGAGGCCACCCCCTCCCCAGCCTTTTCATTTATTCATTTAATTAACAAACGCCTTCATTGAGGGCCTCCTCTGAGTCAGGCTCAGCCAGCCAGCATCTTTGCTATGAGCTGAGATAAGCATCATTTCCTTCTATTCTCACAACCACCCTATGAGGCTGGCACCGTTTACTATGCCTATTTAGCAGATGGGGGACTGAAGCATGGAGAGGTGTCACTAGCCTACGGTAACACAACCAGCCTGCCTTCCTAGTAGGTAGTTTGACTTCAGAGTCTCTGTGGATAACCAGGAGGCTAGGACTAATACCAGAGTCCTGCAGGTAGTCAGGTGGTTGGAGCAAAGCAGGGCAGTGAGGTCAGTGCTCCCAGCCTGTGCAGGCGCACCAGGAAGACTCTGTGTCCCCCTCCGCTGCCCATGTGAAGCCATTCTGCTTCCCTCCCCAGCTGCCTTGTGTCAGCAGTGTTCCAGGGAGGCTCCCTTCCCCACCTCTATTTAAAGTTCCATTTGCTGGGGTGGGGGCCCTGCCTGGAAGGGGAAGGTTCAAGGCAGCTCCCATCGTGTCCCTCCATTCTGACCGTCCCTGGAGGGGCGCGGGTGTCTTTGTCACCCAGCTGCACAGGGGCCAGGAAGGGCTCAAACCATCCTCAGGGCTAACCCAAGGCTGTCCCTCTGGGCCTGTATACCCCTGTGCTGAGTGCGGATGGGGAGAGGCTGCTGAAGAGAGGGGGGCACAAATGAGGGATGAAGGGGCCCGAGGGAGGGGACTGAAGGATTTGGGCCAAGTCGGGAGTTCCCGAGGGCGGAGCCAAAACGCATCTGGACTTTTGCTAGCCCCAAACTCTGCCCTCACTGCTCCGAGCCTCCTAGACCGAGGACCCCGGGCTGAGGGTGGGGTAAGGATAGGTAGTGTCCCTCCCTGTCTCACCCCCCGCCTGTCCCTTCCTTGGTGGCCCCTTCCCAGCGCCCAGATTCCAGGCGGCCCCTCCGATACTGCCAGCCATCCCCCTCTACCCCCACCCACTGCTCCGGCCGCCAGACATTGCCTACAGTTTCGCCTCTGTCTCCCACGGCTATGGGTCCAGACCCCACGGGACCCCTATGGGACCCCCACAGGACCCCCACAGCCCGAGTCAAAGGCCCGCCCCCTCGGGGAGGCGGATGTGGGAGGCCCAGCCCGGGTGCGGGCCAGCGATCCGGGAGCTGCGGGCTGCTGGTAGGGGAGGCGCCCTGAGGGGCTGGGAGCGGCGCGGGGGAGGGTCCCGGTCCTGCAGCCCCAGCGAGGGGCGAGCGGCGGCCAGTCGGCGAGCTGGGCAATAAGGAAACGGTTTATTAGGAGGGAGTGGTGGAGCTGGGCCAGGCAGGAAGACGCTGGAATAAGAAACATTTTTGCTCCAGCCCCCATCCCAGTCCCGGGAGGCCGCTGCGCCAACCGCGCCGAGCGAGCCCCTCCCCGGCTCCAGCCCGGTCCGAGGCCGCGCCCGGACCCCAGCCCGCCGTCCAGCGCTCGCGGTGCAACCGCGGCCGCGCGGTGGAGGGGAGGTGGCCCTGGCCCACCGAAGGCTCGCGCCCCGCCACCCGCAGAGCGGGCCCAGAGGTGAGTCGACGTCCGCGGACGGGACCGGGTGGCGGGCGGCCTGACCCCCGCATCAGTGGGCCGTTCCTTCGGGCGGACCCCAGAGTCACCGCAGAGTGGTCGCGGTGGGCTCAATCCCAGCTCATTAGAAACGCAAGCTGCCCCTGGCTGACTCCGCACAGCTTACCCATGACCCTACCTGAGACTTGGAGGGGACTGGACGAGACCCGACTGGAAATCAGAAACTTGGCTCTAAGTCAGTGACTTCACTTCTCTGTTCTACCCTCTTCATAAAATGGGCAGTGGGATTCTTGTCTTGCTCTACTCACATAGAAGGGATCACACGTTCTCCAGGCCGCTGTGTGGACCTGGAGTGAATGTCCACTTCCACAGCTGTTGAGACTCCCCGCAGAGCTCACCTTTCCCAGACCAGTCCTTCCAGTTGTTGCTTGAGGAATCTGACACTATCATTCCAACCAAGGAGCCTCACCCCCAGCCTCGCATGGTCAATCATCTCCGTTCCGCGACCTTCCTTCAGGACCCAGGCCAAAGGGGATCCCAGTCTCCCTCCAGGCTGGGACCCCAGATTTTCCATCTGCCCTGGAGGCCAGTGCTGTGAAACCCACGGCTGGGCTGGCTGCCCCAGCTCCTCTTTCCTTCTCCAAGGACAGGGGTATAATGGACAGTTGCTCTCACCCTCTCTACCAGCTTCTGGCTGAGTCAGGGTCGGTCCTAATACCTGTTCTCTCACCTGTCCTCCTATTTCATTGGTTTGTTAGAAATAGCTACCATTTATTGAGTACTAACTATGTAGACACTTAGATACATTTTTTTCTCATGTAATCCTGGTCACAAACTAGTGGAAGAGGGGTTACTATGTCCATCCTACAGAAAAGGAAACAGACATGAATAACTTGTCCAAAACTCCTTGCATGGTGGGGTAAATGGCATGGTTGGGGTCTTGATAACATTTAAGTGCTTACTGTATACTACTTATACTCTGCTAAATAATTTTGCTACATTTTACCTATGAGATAACACTATTATTCCCACTTTACATATGATGGGAAGCCTAAGCCTCAGAAAGTTTAAGTAACTTGTTTCAAATCTCATGCCTCTAAGAGGCAAAGGCAGGATTTGAACCCAGGTCTCCATGCTCCTGAGCCCACACCCTAACCTCTGTGCTACTCTGTGCTGCCTCCATGGTCTACCTGAGACCTGAAAATCCAGGCTTGTTCCGCTGCATCACCCCGCTGTGAGGGGCTAATAAATCACGTGGATGAATCGTAGGGGCAACCCAATATGAACAGCTGGGTCTGGTCCTCTGCTGTTGGGGTAAGGCCTACTGAAGTGCAGAGTGAGTCCAGAAGGTTGTGCTTGAGATGGTGCTTCTCCAGCCCTGTGACAATCACGGCTGTGCTGAGCCACTGCCGTTGATGGGAGTGGGTTTTATCAATCCTTCAGGTGTGCTGGGGAGAAAAAGATTGATAAGCACCTTTGGGGCATACCACTACTCTGGCTCTTCCCACGGGAGGCTCAGACTTTGACTACGCCTATGGCAAACTGATGATTTCTGGGCAGCAACACTGTTGCCTGGGGCAATATAGTGAGACCCTATCTCTACTAAAAATAAAACCGGGCATGGTGCTGCACCCCCCTGTAGTCCCAGCCACTTGGGAGGCTGAGGTGGGAGGATCACTTGAGCTCAGGAGTTCAAGGTTACAGTGAGCTATGATTGCACCACCGCACTCCAGCCTGGGCAACTGAGCAAGACCCTGTCTCAAAAAAAATTAAAAACAAACAAAAACGCTGTCTGCATTTAAACAAATCTGAGTAGGGCACCCGTTAATAACAACAGCAGTGGGCAATTTGTTCATGTCCACCGAGACCCATGTCTTTTTCTTCCTCTGAGGAACTCATCTAACCCCAAACAATTGGAGGAATAACAACGACCAAGGAAGGATTTATTATCAGCAATTTAAGTTTATTAAGACACACTCAGTGACTATGGACAGGAAACCTAACATCTCTGAACCTCACTTTCCCCCGTTGGACTGTTGCGATGATTAAATCAGATAAACCATTCAAGTTCAGTACTTAGCACATAAGTAGTACTCAGAGAAGGTTAACTGTTAGTATTAAGTATTTCATAGTGTTTAGCTAACGTTTGAATTTAGTTTAACGTTTGTAATTTCTGGCCAACAATAGTGATGCTTCTGTCAGCAGGAGATCTTTCACAAAGTTTTGCTTAGAAGTGAAAGGATCCTGCCAGGCCCCAGGAGTCTGTTTGTGCTACAGTCAGATTTTAGGGCAAATCGTAAAGAGTCAGCTCTGAGTTTGGACTGGTCAGGACTCAGCACCCTTCTGTTCTTGACCTCACACTGGGTCCAGTTAAAAATTGGACAGTCCCAATTTTACTCCATCACATTCCCAGGATGGATTCTGCAGATGCAGACAGGCCTCGCTCCACAGTGTCACCAAGTCCCGGCTTTGGTGTTTACCCTTGGCTGTCCCTTCTCTAGTAGATGGGGAGGGTCCTGGGTGGGAGTGAGTGTCCCCTCCCTCTGCGTCCCACTCCCACTCACCCAGCAGGGCCCTGTACAGCAAAATGAAAGCAGAGGAACCAGACTTAGCATTGTGCAGGACCCATTTCTCAAAGAGTGGTGCCCACACAAACTGATCAGAACTCCCTGGGAAACTTTTAAAAAATGCATGTTTCTTGCTGATTCCAGGACTGAATCAGAGTCTGGAGTGAGGGTGAAACCAGTGAATATGCTTTACTAATTGAGCACTTCAGGTGATTCCGATGCGTGATAAAGTAGAAGGAGGGTGGACTGGGGCACGGCCAGAGAACTAGAGGTACGGACAGAGGGTCCTAGAGGAATGCCGGATTTTAGCCTTAGTGTTAGCCACTTTTTTCTTCCCACCTCAAACCCTCTTTTTTGCAGCTTTCTGGGCTAGCAAAGGCCGCCAAGGATGGCTTCCTGCTAGTACCCCAGTGGGCAGATTCAACCCCTCTGGGGTGCTCTCTCCATCCCATCCCACCACGGGCCCCGCCACACAGTGCTGGCCAGAGTCCTCACTGGCTGCGGGAGGGGCAAGAGGCAGGAGGTCAGGCAGAGGCTGGGGACACAGCTGCAGCAGCCCAGGGCTCTGTTTCCTCCCCCAGCCTGGGCCTCTGGGGCAGAGGAAGCCCAGGCAGGAAGGCCAGGCGTGCCACCAGCCAGAGAGGCCTATGAAGCCCCCCACCCCATCCCTGGCCATACTGCCCTCAGAGCCTCAGGATCTCGGGTCTTCATTTGGCACCATTCTTAAACTATGGGCCTTCTGAAGCCTCTGTGGCCATATGCCCCGCCCTGTGAGGATCACCATGTCATGCCAAAGGGCAGTCTCCCTGCCTTGTGTGCTGCCTGAGGATCCAGTCCCCAGACACACACCTGCACACACTCCACCATTCAGAAAGTCCTGTTGCTGTCTGACTAGAGTCCTTCTAGCTGCAGCTTTAGCCCATATCTTCTGGTTCTAAACCTCTGAGAAATGAAGACTGGGTGGCTTCAGAAGCACTAGTTGGTGTGGGACCTGGATTGGGGACTATCACAGACCAGAATTACTCCCCCTGACACTCTTCAACAAACTTCTGAAAAAGTTCAACCCTAGTCAGCCATGGAAGGTCAAACATTCAGTGTCTAAGTGTGTTTCACTTCCCCTGCCACATCACTGGCCCTCCACCCACCCTTTCCTAGATGGCAAGGGAGAGAAGGGGGCCAGGGAATGACTCTGAGAGGGCAGCTTATACTCTGGTGAGCTTGCAGAGAGGTTCCTCTACACCTGGCATGACCCGGTGCCATCCAAGCTTTGCGTGGTTGTTACAGCCTGAGGGCTCAGACATGGGCTGCCACCACTGGATAGGGACGGTGTGGAGAGAGCACTTGACTAGGAGTCTGGAAGCCTGGGTTGTACTCCTGCTGGTGCCAGTGAGTCCTGTCTGACCCGGGACAAGTCTTCTTCCCTGTATAAGCCTTATTCCTTTCTTCTGTAAAACAAGGAGCTGGATTTTGTGATCCACCTAGAATTCTGTCATGTGGGTGTCCCAGGCACAAGGAACTAAGGGTAGCAAGGAACTAAGGGCATATTTAAATAGCCTCTCCAGACCCTATGGCTGCTGCAGCCCACCCTGAAAATATGCCTTTAGATCCCTGCTGTGCGTGACTCCTGCCTGTTCTATCCAGACCCCAATCTAAACAATCTTGATTCCTGTTCCTGGCTTGGCAGGACCCTGAATGGCAGGAAGTGAAGACAGGAGCCTGTTTATGTTTGAGGCAGCCAGGGCTTGGGGGGGGCACTGGGAAAGGGTAGGCAGGGGTGAAGGCTGTGAGGGTGTGGGAAAGAGACACAGAACAGAAGGGGAGCTGCTGGAGAGATGCTCCTTCTACCCCAACTGGGTGCTCCCTGCGGCTCTCCCAACCTGCCTCCAGTCTGAGCTCAGCAGCAGGGGTGCAGAGCTAGGGTTTCCCCAAGCTCTCGGTCACTTAAACATGGCTCTCCACCCTTCACCTCTAACAGGATGGTTTCCATGGGGAAGTGAACCAGGACTTCCCTTGCAGGCCCCGCCCCAAAGCCAGGCGGCAGGGAGTAGGGAGGCGGCCTCCCTGCCTCCCCTCCAAAAAAAACTCTCTGTGATTTCCTCTGGGCGGGAGGGAGCCACAGCTGGCGGCTGTCACATTTTGCAGCTCTTACTCCACCTCTCTTGCTCCTCTCTGCAGGGACCATGACCCTGGGCTCCCCAAGGAGAGGCCTTCTGATGCTGCTGATGGCCTTGGTGACCCAGGGTGAGTACTGGGGGAGCAGTTAGGAAACAGGAACCTGGATAGAGAAAGGGCTATCTGGGCCCAGATCAGCTCTGCCCGGGGCTGAACTTGAGAAACTGGGGAGAATTTAGGAGCTTGACTGGAGAATAGAGGAAAGTGAGGCTCCATTAAACTCAGCCCCCAGTTACCCCAGCCCTCCTTTGCTCTCCTCTGGGTCCAGACCTGCAGGCTGGAGCTCTGTCAGGCTAGGGTGGAAGCCTATATGTGGGGCGGAGGGAGAGCAGGTGTTGGCAGGCCAAGCCTGGGAGCGCTCTCAGGACTGGGGCTGGGGGCGCAGCCCAGCCTAGAACTGGGAGGGGAGAACCTAGGAGCCAGGAGGGAACAGAAGCCTGCTTCTCAGTGTCAGCTGCCCTGAGGGGAGGGCTCTGAGGGAAGGATGACTGAGGATGGAAGTAAGGGACCAAAGCTTCAAGGTGTTTGTCTGGGGGGTCAGACGAGAGGGCCAATGGAACAGAAATGGGTGTCAGGCTCAGCCTGAGGGAGCTGGGCCCAGAGTGACTGAGCTTCCGGTGTGTCTCCCAGGTGACCCCGTGAAGCCCTCTCGGGGCCCGCTGGTGACCTGCACATGTGAGAGCCCACATTGCAGGGGGCCTACCTGCCAGGGGGCCTGGTGCACAGTAGTGCTGGTGCGGGAGGAGGGGAGGCACCCCCAGGAACATCGGGGCTGCGGGAACTTGCACAGGGAGCTCTGCAGGGGGCGCCCCACCGAGTTCGTCAACCACTACTGCTGTGACAGCCACCTCTGCAACCGCAACGTGTCCCTGGTGCTGGAGGGTAGGTCCAGCTGCCCCAGCACTCCCTCCCCATCTTCTCGGCCCCTGCCCTCCCTTCCCTCCTTTCCTCTCATGCTCTGGCCAATAAAGGGGCTGGGGGCGGGGGGGGGCGGGCAAGACTCTGGGATTTAACTGGCAGAATGGTCTGCCCGAGGTGGGGGAAGTTGACCTAGTGCAAGCTGAGCCTCAATGTCCCCTCCCCCAGCCACCCAAACTCCTTCGGAGCAGCCGGGAACAGACAGCCAGCTGGCCCTGATCCTGGGCCCCGTGCTGGCCTTGCTGGCCCTGGTGGCCCTGGGTGTCGTGGGCCTGTGGCATGTCCGACGGAGGCAGGAGAAGCAGCGGGGCCTGCACAGCGAGCTGGGAGAGTCCAGTCTCATCCTGAAAGCATCTGAGCAGGGCGACAGCATGTTGGGGGTATGGGCCTGGGGACCTGGGACACAGGGTGGAGCGGGGCAGATAGCAACTGCGGAATCAGAGGGGTCATCCAGAGAGTAGAGCCGGTGGGGAGCTGGGCGAGTGAGGAGCTTGCAGTGACCCAGCAGGTCCCAGGTTGAGGATGGAGAATGGGGCTGCGGCTGGTTAGGGCAGCTTTTGAGTGGCCTCTCCATACCCTCAGGACCTCCTGGACAGTGACTGCACCACAGGGAGTGGCTCGGGGCTCCCCTTCCTGGTGCAGAGGACAGTGGCACGGCAGGTTGCCTTGGTGGAGTGTGTGGGTGAGCAGTGGGTGAGCCCAGTGGATGAGGACCAAGGGCTCTCATGAGCCTGGAGGGGTGAGGGAGTTCTTGGCTTCCGGAATCACAGGCAGTGCCAGGCCTGGGTCAGAACTGGAATTCTGCTGGGCAGGGAGTGGGCTGGAGACGGGCCAGGGCTAGGTTCTTTCTGCAGGACCGGGGTGGAACGAGAGGCAGCTGGGGGTGGCCTGCCGCTGGGTTTGGGTCTGGATTAACTTAAACCTAAGGGTCAGGGGTTCTGTGGGTGGGGTGGGCGAGGGAGGCAGCACAGCATCCAGATGAGGGGCTCCTCCAGGGCTCTGTGTGCCCAGTGTGTAACCCTCACCTTCCCCTCTGGCCATCAGGAAAAGGCCGCTATGGCGAAGTGTGGCGGGGCTTGTGGCACGGTGAGAGTGTGGCCGTCAAGATCTTCTCCTCGAGGGACGAACAGTCCTGGTTCCGGGAGACTGAGATCTACAACACAGTGTTGCTCAGACACGACAACATCCTAGGCAAGGGGAGGGGCCGGCTGTGCCAGGCCTGGGGCTTTGCCCTCCTGCACTCAGGGCTCGAATTCACAGACCTCCAGACATTAACAGAACCCTGAAGGACTCCCAGCCCACCTGCAGCACCAACCTCTTTTTTTTTTTTTTTTTTTTTTTTGAGACAGGGCCTCGCTCTGTCACCCAGGCTGGGATGCAGTTGTGCAATCTCACTGGAACCTCAATCTCTTGAGCTCAAGCGATCCTCCCACTTCAGCCTCTTGAGTAGCTGGGACCACAGGCATGTGCCACCATGCCCAGCTAACTTTTTTATTTTTTGTAGAGACGAGGTCTCCCTATGTTGCCCAGACTGGTCTCAAATTCCCGGGCTCAAGCAATCCTCCTGCCTTGGCCTCCCAAAGTGTTGGGATTACAGGTTTAAGCCACTAAGCCAGGCCCAGACCCAACCTCTGACTCCAGCTCTGTCTCTGACCTAAGCCACATCAACCCCCACCCCAGACCTTGCTTAGCAGTGACCCAGCCCATTCCCTCTCCCCCGACCCCACCCTGACCCTGACCACTCCAGCCTCCCTTAGCCCCAGCCCCTTGGCTGAGTCACCCGACCCTTCTGTGCACAGGCTTCATCGCCTCAGACATGACCTCCCGCAACTCGAGCACGCAGCTGTGGCTCATCACGCATTACCACGAGCACGGCTCCCTCTACGACTTTCTGCAGAGACAGACGCTGGAGCCGCATTTGGCTCTGAGGCTAGCTGTGTCCGCAGCCTGTGGCCTGGCACACCTGCACGTGGAGATCTTCGGTACACAGGGCAAACCGGCCATTGCCCACCGTGACTTCAAGAGCCGCAACGTGCTGGTCAAGAGCAACCTGCAGTGTTGCATTGCTGACCTGGGTGAGCTGGGCAGGGCAGGGGCAGGCCCTTCACAGGTGGGCACAGCCCGTGCTCTCTCCTCTCCTTTGCCTATGGGCGGTGACCATGATTGGCGCTTGAAAACAGAGGTGCATGTTGTCTCAGTTCTCTGCAAGACCGCATGAGTTGTCTGAACACCCTTTTCAAACCAGACTCCTTCCACCATACCATCCTGGCTCCAGGAGTTGGGAGAAAGGAGGCAGGAGCCAGAAACCTGGATTCTCATTCCTGGCTTCGCTAACTATATCCCTCCCTGGCACCAGCCTCCGGCTCCGCTCCGTGAAGTGGGCATCATAATGCCTGCCTTGCCCACTCTCATCTCGCTGGGTTCTTGAGAACCTAAAGAGCACTACATAAGCAAAGAGTACCTGGGGCGGTGGTTCTCTCTGTGGTCACTGTCTTCCAGCCCATCTCCATGCAGGTCTCCATCTGCCTCCCCCTCTCTGTCCCACTGCTTCTCTCAGTCCCCACCTTGCCTGCCCCCTGGACCCCAGGTCAGGGAGAGGGACAGGAGTGACAGGCCTCACCCCCACAGGCCTGGCTGTGATGCACTCACAGGGCAGCGATTACCTGGACATCGGCAACAACCCGAGAGTAGGCACCAAGAGGTACATGGCACCCGAGGTGCTGGATGAGCAGATCCGCACGGACTGCTTTGAGTCCTATAAGTGGACTGACATCTGGGCCTTTGGCCTGGTGCTGTGGGAGATCGCCCGCCGGACCATCGTGAACGGTGAGTGTCCACCCTACACAGGGTAGGGAAAGGGCAATTGGCCCGTGGAGCCAGGGGCTTCCTGCCATGGCCAGTGCCCATGGCCTGGGAGGTTTGCAGCCAGACCTCCTGGCACCCTTTCCATGCTGCCCACCAGCTGATTCAGCTGAGTGACCTTTTAAGGTATAAACCTTAAAAACAGATAACGGGGTCTGTGAGTCAGGCTGTGAAATCTTGGGTACGTGATAATAACGGAAATATTAATAGCAGCTAACATTGATTGAGCTTAAATATGTGCCAGATGCCATGCTATATACTTTACATGTATTATCTTATTTGATTCTTTGATATGGGCAAGGCAGTGGTATTGCTTAGTGGCTAAGACCATAGGCTTGGAATCAGACTTCCTGGGTTCTATTGCTGATTTTGCCATGACCATGGGTAGGTTATTTGGCCTCTCTGTGCCTCAGTTTCCTCATTTGTAAAATGGGGGCGGTGGCTTATGCCTGTAATCCCAGCACTTTGGGAGGCCGAGGCAGGCAGATCACCTGAGGTCAGGAATTCGAGACCAGCCTGGCCAACATGGCGAAACCCTGTCTCTACTAAAAATACAAAAATTAGCCGGCTCTGGTGGCACACGCCTGTAATCCCAGCTACTCGGGAGGCTGAGGCAGGAGAATTGCTTGAACCTGGGAGGCAGAGGTTGCGGTGAGCCGAGATCGCACCACTGCACTCTAGTCTGGGTGACAGAGTGAGACCCTCTCTCAAAAAAAAAAAAAGAATAAATAAATAAAGAAAAAATAAAAATAGCTTCCAGTTGTTGAGTTAATCTAAGTATTTAGAACAATATCTAGAGCTAAATATTAGTGGCGGTTATTGCTGTAGATAGAATGAGTGCCTGACCTCGTATTGTCCCCATTGTACAGTTGAGGAGATGGGGGCACAGAATGACAGCGGGCTTGAGGCAGCATCAGGGTCTGAAACTGGCCAGTCTGCTCCGGGGCCAGTGCTCATCATCACTGTGTGCACTTAAACCTCTCTGGCCTTTGATTTCTTCATGCACACAATGCATGTGAGTGCCTGCACTGCCTGCTTATTGCTGCCTCGTTGTTACTGTGGGTTGCCACAGGGGACTCTGATTTAGAGGGACTGCGGCAGGTAGAGGGACCTGCCCCGAGCAGCCCTGTGGTTGATGCTCTCTCAGCCCTGGGGTGGACGGAGGATGGGTGGGTCTTCTACACTGGTGGGAACATTGTCAACCTTTGAGGAGGCTGTCCATGGTGAGGGACTTCCAGGAGTCTTGACAGGTTGGGGACAATCCTCAGGATATGGCTGGAGCCCTGCTTCTTGGGGACAAGCATGTCTTCATTTCCTGAGTATCTACTAGGAGCCAGCCCCATGCCAGACTTCATTTGTCCTCAGTGGTCATCGACTGAAAACGGAGGCTGTGGTGTCACCAGTCCCTTGGGGAGACTCACGAGGCGCTTAGATTCCTTAAGACTCTGGGGATGAACTGCCAGAGTGGGCTCTACGGAGACTGGGATCGGGGGAAAGGGGAACATGGAAGAAGCCAAGGCTCTTTGGACCAAGCTGCAGGGCAGAAAGGAAAGGCTGGGAGAGGCTGCCTGGGGCGGAGGGGGAAGCTCCATCAGCCCCACACGGACTCGCGGCACATTATAAACACTGTAATCTGGTGTCAGCCCCGGCACTGATTAAAGGCCCATTAGACACACTCAGGCCTCTGTGCAGCACTGATTAGGGCGTGAGCGGCACAGGGGCCGGCCTGGAAGCTGGCCATGGGGAGAACAGCTGGCGAAGGCTCTATCGAGGTTGCGGCCTGTGTGGCCATGGCCCCCAGCCTCAGGCTGGGAAACAGGATGGGGCACAGGGCTGTCTGCAACTCCACAGGCATTGTTTTCAGAAAGCTCCTACTAAAAACTGTGAACTTGGGATACCAAGAGGAGGGGGTCAGTGCTGGCTGCAGGAGTCAGCAGAGGCCTGTGCCATCCCTGACACTGGGTGATGTTATGTGGACCTGGATAAAAATAAGTGCAGCTCGGAGGTCAAGAGCACATGCTTTGCTGTTAGACTTTGTGGGCTTAAATCCTAGCCCTGTCACTTACTATCTGTTGATCTTAGACAAGTTTCTTAAACTCTCTGGCCTTCATTTCTTGGCTTATGAAGTGGAGCTAATAGTATTACCTACCTCATAGGGCCGCTGTGAGGATTTCATGCAGAGCTCTTAGGATAGCACCTGGCACACAGTGCTCAGTAAACATTTGGTGTTATTATTATCAGGCATGTGTGATAGTTGGGGCCTGCGAGCAGTCCCAGGCACTGGGTGGAAGGCAACTGAGGAAAGACTGGGGACAAGGCTGGCCTAGGAATCCGAGATGGATTTGAGTCTTGCCTCTGCCATTACTAGCTGTGGAACGTTGGGCCCCACTTTTCTGAGCATCAGTTTCTTCATCTGTAAAATGGATGTAATACTAGTAGCCACCCCATAGGGCTATTGTGAGGACAAATAGGATAAAACACGTAAAGTATTTACAGCAGAATACCTGGCACATGCCAAGTGCAAAACAAACGGCAGTCATTAGTATTAGTTAGAAACACATTTATTGCATTATACTGTCCCTCTCAGGGACATGTCCAGGCCACTGGTTTCTGGCTGTTGGGATGGAGGGTAGGAAAGGCTCTCCTCTGGGTGGTATTGGGCCTCCTTGGGGTCCCAAGTGATTGTCCCCTCCATTGTCCATTTGCAGGCATCGTGGAGGACTATAGACCACCCTTCTATGATGTGGTGCCCAATGACCCCAGCTTTGAGGACATGAAGAAGGTGGTGTGTGTGGATCAGCAGACCCCCACCATCCCTAACCGGCTGGCTGCAGACCCGGTGAGGCTTCTACTGGGACTAGGATGGCATGGGGTGGTGGCTCACGGCTGGGATTTCTGGGCCCAAGAACTTGTGTCTGAGGCCTCTGCTTCATCTCAGGTAGATAGTGGGTGTCCTGGTTAGGGCACCTCTCTAGGTACTCCCTCTTTCAACCCTGGCCCATGCTCCCTGCCCCCAGGGCCGTCTGGTCATTCTGAGAATTTAAGAACCTTCACCTTCCTTGTGAAAAGTCAGAGGCTCTGTGTGGCTCTCTGTGGCTGTGTGTGTGTGTGTGTGTGTGTGTGTGTGTGTGTGTGTGTTTGAGAGACAGGGTTTTGTTTGCTCTTGTCACCCAGGCTGGGGTACAGTGACCCAATCATAGCTCACTGTACCCTCAAACTCCTGGGCTCAACTGATCCTCCTGCCTCAGCCTCCCCAGTAGCTAGGTGTAGTGCACACCACCACACCCGGCTAATTTTTAAAATTTTTTTGTAGAGACAAGGTCTTTTATGTTGCTCAGGCTTATCTCAAACTCTTGGGCTCAAGTGATCCTCCTGCCTCAGCCTCCCAAAGTGCTGGTGTGAGCCTCCACACCTGACCTCCACACCTGACCACTGTGGCATTTTTGTTGCTGTTTGTCTTTGTTTGTTGCTGTTCTGCTGTTGTTTGTCCTTGTTTTTTCTCAAAACACTTCACTTATACAAAGACACACACACATATATCAACACATACAAGCATGAATATCCTTCTGAACATACACTCACAGATATACACACATGCACATATACGCCAGACTGTTGGCCCCGTGAGGACAAAGAACATGTCTTTTGCTCACCCTTATATCCCTGTTACCTATCATAATATTTGGCTCACAACAGGTGCTAATAAATATTTATTGAAATAATGAATATATTCTATACATGTATACATGTATGTATACATAGACATACATTTCTGTACAACATACATACATATCCACAAAAAGTCACATGTATGCATTCCTCTACACACACACACACACACACACACACACACACACACACTCTCACTTTCAGGAGCCAGAGGTGGGGCCAGCTCATTCCAGGCCCTGGGATGGGTTGATGAGCTCCCTGGGATGGGTTGGTGAGCTTCTTGGGATGGGTTGCTCCCTGGACACTTGCATTTTTAGGGTAGTTCCCACTTCTCAAACTTCCACAGTCCCCTGGGCCCAGCCATGGCTGATGGAGGGGCTGGGAGACACTGCCCTCTGGACCGGGGTCTTAGCCTGTGGATGGGGATGTGGAAGCCCCCAGGCTTGAAGAATCTGCCCCTTCCTGTGGATCTTGGCAAAGGTGGGGATGGGGGTAAGGTGTTTCACAGACACTGCTCGCCCAAGGGGGCTTGAGTGCTCCTGAAGATCTGAGTTCTCTTTTTCTGTCCTCCCTGTCTTTCTCCATCCCTTTCTCACTCTACTCTCTTCCTCTTCCATTTTTTATTTTTTGTCATCCTCTGTTCTCCCTTTCACTGCTTGTCTTTCCTCTCACTCTCCTGTCCAATGCTCTCATTTCCCTCCTCTCATCCTTTCTCTCTGGCTTATGTCTCCCCATTACTGGCTATCCTCCTCATCTCCTTCTTTCCATCTTCTCTGACCCACCTCCCTCTGCATCTCTCTCCCAACCCCCTCCTCTCCTCTGCACCTCTCTCCCAACCCCCAGGTCCTCTCAGGCCTAGCTCAGATGATGCGGGAGTGCTGGTACCCAAACCCCTCTGCCCGACTCACCGCGCTGCGGATCAAGAAGACACTACAGAAAATTAGCAACAGTCCAGAGAAGCCCAAAGTGATTCAGTAGCCCAGGAGCACCTGACTCCTCTCTGCCTGCAGGGGGTTGGGTTTGGGGGGTAGTGGATGGTGCCCTATCTGGGTAGAGGTAGTGTGAGTGTGGTGTGTGCTGGGGACGGGCAGCTGCGCCCGCCTGCTCGGCCCCCAGCCCACCCAGCCAAAAATACAGCTGGGCGGAAATCTGATCCCCTGCCGTCTAGCCTGCTCAAAGCGGCAGGCTCCCTGACGCCTGGCTCTCTCCCCACCCGCTACGGCCAGCAGGGTGCACCCCTACCACTCCCAGGACAGGATGCAAAAGAGGCTCCAGGATGCAAAAGAGGCTCCAGAGTGCCAAGCCAGGGAATCCCAGTGCCAGACTCAGAGCCTGGGCCTGCACTTTGCCCCCTGCCCTTGATCAACCCCACTGCTCCACCAGAGCTGCCAGGGTGGCACAGGGCCCTGTCCAGCCCTCAGCACACACTTCCCTGCCAGGCCTCAGCCTCTGGCACAAGCTCCAGAGAGCCAGGGCCCATCAGTTTCTCTCTGTGGGTTTGTATCTCAGTTCCATGATGCCTTGGGCTTTCTGTCTCCTCAACAAGAGCACAGCTTGCTGAATGTCAGCTGCCTGGGAGAGCTGGGGCCTGAGTTACTAGAGCATTAAAACCTAAGAGGTCCTACTGAGGATGTGGCAGGATCACAGGCCAGTGGAGAAGGGGCAGGTCACATGGGTAAGGCCCAGGACTTTCAGATTAACTGAGAGAATGTCGAGGCCAAGCGTGGCAGAGAGGTCAGTGGGTGTCAGGAGACCCAGGTCTGACCCCAGGTATTTGTTCCATGTGACAAAAGCAGGCCTGTATCAGGACCTTTTCTTTTCTTTTTTCTTTTTCTTTTTTTTTTTTTTGGACACAGAGTTTCGCTCTTGTTGCCCAGGCTAGAGTGCAGTGGCATGATCCCAGCTCACTGCAACCTCTACCTCCCAGGTTCAAATGATTCTCCTGCCTCAGACTCCCAAGTAGCTGGGATTACAGGCACGTGCCACCACGCCTGGCTAATTTTGTATATTTAGTAGAGATGGGATTTCACCATGTTGGCCATGCTGGTCGTGAACTCCTGACCTCAGGTGTTCAGCCTCCCAAAGTGTTGGGGTTACAGGTGTGAGCCATGTGCCCGGCCAGGACCTTTGTTTCTTATCTACATATTGGAAGATTTGGTCCTGATGTCCTTTGAGGCTTCTTTAGCTCTAGTTCTCTGACGTTTCAGCCTATATCAGAGCTAACTTCCTCAGTCTCATCTATTACTTATGCTCCAGCCCCTGCCAATTTGCCTCAAGATGGGGGTTTGAAAATAACTTTACCTGACTCAAGGAGTGTCTGGAGCACCTCCTAGTCTAAGTCTCCAAGCTCCAATTCTTACCTAAAACCATGCCAGTGGCCACCCTTGGGCTCAGACAGCTCTGGGCCTTTTGACCACAAGCCAGCCCCTCGGTCCTCTCTGTGGCATAGTCTACTGTGCCCTAGGACTGCAGGGCGGTTTCCTCTAAGTCTTCCAAGGTCAAAAGAAATTTGGCTCCATCCAAGAAGCCTCCAGCTCCCCTACTGGCCCCTGGCTCAGGCCCACACCCCTGGCCAGGCCCAGAGAGTGTGTCTCAGGTGAATTCAATAGCTCTAGAGAATCACACAGAGAGTCTGGCATTTGGAAATGTCAAGGATGTATGTATGCTCATGTATGGAGCAGGTTGCCCTGGCCCCTGGGTGCAGGGAAGTGGGTTGGAGGGGAGCTTGCGGAATATAAGGAGCAGGGGTGGAGACTCAGGCTACGGACAAGGACAGCCCTAAGATTGGGAAGATCTGGCCTAGTAGTCTTCAAACCAGGGATAGGGAAGTGAAGAAAGCTCTCCCCGCTCCTGCTGTAATGACCCAGAGTAGCCTCCCCAGTCTGGCATCTTATGTGTGTCTTCCACCATCCTCACGGTGGCACTTTTCTAGGCCTGTCTCCCAGCATTATGCAAGGCTCAGAGGAGAACCAGGAAGTGAAACTGGGTGAAAACAGAAAGCTAAATGGATGGGCTAGGTTCCCAGATCATTAGGGCAGAGTTTGCATGTCCTCTGGTCACTGGAATCCACCCAGCCCACGAATCATCTCCCTCTTGAAGGATTTTATTTCTACTGGGTTTTGGGACAAAATCCTGCCAAGACCCCACAGCCAGAACCTGAAAGCAGTAGCTCCCCAAAGGCTGGAAAATCCCTAAGAGAAGGCCTGGGGCAGGAAGTGGAGTGACAGGAGACAGGTAGAGAGAAGGGGCCCAATGGCCAGGGAGCGAAGAAGGTGGCCTTGCTGAGAGCAGTCTGCACATGCTTCTGTCTGAGTGCAGGAAGGTGTGGCAGGGTCGAAATTACACTTCTCCTACCTGGAGACACTGTTTGTGGGAGCACTGGGCTCGTGCCTGGCACACAATAGGTCTGCAATAAACCATGGTTAAATCCTGAGCTCCAGAGTCTTCCCAGGCCGACGCCTCTGCAGTGGCCCGTCCCAGAGGTCCAGATAGAACCAGAGGGATCGGGGGAGGAGAGGGGCCCAGGATACACGCCCAGCTTTGCCCTTACACAGGTCACAGTTTCCTCACGCCCCTGCTCAGACCCCCGCGGGGGCCCAAATCTCAGTTCCTACCCCAGATTGGGAGCAGCCTGGTCGCCGCACCTGCCACGTCGCCCTCTGCTGGCGGAGGGCTGCCCAGCGGCCGCCGCCCATCCCCACACAGGGACCGCGGGCCTTTCCCGGCCGGGTGGGACAGCCTTCCCCGCCCCCGGGCGCCAGCGTCCGTGTGCTCGCTGACCTGCTGTTCTGCAGGGACTGTCCCCCGAACACCACACCTAGCAAAGAGCTTTCTGCTTCCAAACTGGCAATTTGGACGCCCCCTCAATTCCTTGTTCTCACTTCCCTTCTCAAATGGGGTCCCCATCTTGCCAGGAGTCAGTCACCATTCCCAGCATGGGAAGATCCCCTTCCCTGGGGACCTACCTTGTCCTGGGATCAGAAAGCACTTCACACACACATCCCATTCTCACCCCCGGAAATTCGGGGCGGGGACATGCCATGGCGGAGGCAGGTACTAAAAGAAGCTGAGAGGGTCCTGGCCTGTGGGACTGCCCAGCCTAGAAAATCTGTGCCTTTGTGCTGGATGCCCTCTTCGGGAAACATGGGGAGGGTACACCTGACACCACAGATGACTTTGTGGCCCCTTGCACCCCCAAGGCAGCCTCATGCCTGGAACCTTCTACCCTGGGTTCATGGATACCCACACAACACAGTGTCTTCCCCGAGGATTGGAGCACCCGGCCTCAGACCAGCTTTGAGGAAATAGGAGCGTTGCTAACATCCGGCAAAGGCAGCCTTTCCCCTCCCCCTGTGCCTGCCAGACTCTGTCCTTATGTCCTCCCCACGCTGTCCAGACTATGGTTGGAGAGTTGGGAGAAGGGCAGTGGGGAAATTGCAGAGAAGGGGGTACGTGATCGCTGAGCAGGATCCGTGGCCATACTGGCTCACTGCTCTCCGGTTCTTGCGAAGAGCCCTTGGGAAGTCACCCCGTCCAAGCCCCTGCCTACAAGTAGACCTCAGGGAACCTGCCTGCCTTTGGAGGAAAAAAACCCACTGCTCACTTTGCTTCTCTGCAGCTTTGCCCTGACTTCCTCGGGGACCCCAGGCCCCAGTTTCCCTATCTAGACAAAGAGGGAGAGGACCATCTGTGTGGTATCACCCTGAGGAGTGATAGGTGCCATAGCATGCCACAGTGGGGCTGAGGGTAGCTCCTGGAGCATAAGCCTTGATGTGGAGGGCCACCCCTTCCCCTGCCAAGGCCTCACCAACAGTTCTCCTCTCCACCCTCCAAGGCACCATCCTCCCTCAGTCCTGCCTTGCACCAGCCTCCAAGAAGGGTGCTGTTTCCTCCATATCCTCACCAACATTATGATCAACAGCCCAAGAGATGGCAAAGTCCTCACACCTAGAAGTCCCTGTCCTGGGGGTGGAGTGGGGGGTGCACGTCCTGTGTCCAGTCTCCCAGGGCTGGGACTGATGCTAGCTGTGCAATCGTCACTCTGGGTGGGCGACTCTTGGAATGAGCTGCTTCCACCAGGGCCACATTCAGTTTGCTCGAAATAGAGACAGAGGGCTTCTTGACTTTGCATATGATTTGCATAATGTCATAGACACACAGTCTATTTTCAGGCAGTTTTCAGGTTAAAGTGTTGTCACTGCTGCCCTGCAGGGTGTCATGTCTGGATGAGTCTCTTCTCTGTTCTTTCTCACCCACCCACTCTTACTGACCTACATCCCCAGCTGCAGGAGCGAATGGTGAGGCAGGGGGAGAGTGGGGTTGTCCAGGGAGACACATGGGCAGGGAAATAAAGGGAATTTCCTTATTACCAGCATCACCAGAAACAGAATCTGGTTGCTCAAGGGCAACTAATAGGCAGAGGGTAAGGAACAGGAAGCCAGGTAACCCATCTTCTGTTCTGCACAAACCCTTCCCACCTCTCCTACCAGGAGAACAGCCAGTTCCTGTTTCTCTATTCAGTCTTCTGCTGGTTTGAAGAAAGAGGTCTAGATAGATAAACCTGTTTCTTTCAGCCACCCATAAAGCCTTGCTTGGCCCAGACATCCCTCATGGGCATTTATTTTCAATGCTAAGATTAGATCTTCACCTCTTGGGAAATCTGACCTGCAGTCTGTTCCTCTCCTGGGAGCCTTATCTGAAAGATAAGGATCCTAGTCTCATGATCAATATTTTTGGAGCACCTGGCACACAGTAGGAGGTCAGTCAGTGCTGCAGTCCCCTCCTCTTCTTCATCTAGAGGTCTGTACCAAGTACCTCATTGTCCCACACCTGGATGCTCGACACACACACCAGCCTCTGAAGGCTCAGATGCAGAAACAGACTTACAAGAGCCAGTTGATGTAACTGTCACTAAGTTATCTGCGACCTTGGCCAGTTGCTTGGTCTCTTCATCTGGAAAGGAGGGGGACTGGTGATTGGTGGAGAGGAGGGGCAAAGATAATTCCCATATTATAGCTTGAGCTGTTTGGGGACCTTCCTTGATCACAGAGGGTCGGGGCTGGAGCCCCACCCAGGGCTCCCTCCTGTAAACCCTCTGGCTTTGGGGCATGTCTGGTGTGCTGTCTTCCTGTGTATATCAAAGGATCCACCAGA